TTTAGATTACTTCACTCAAGTAGTTTATGATGGAGAGAATTACAGTAGAATATCTTTAGATTACTTCACTCAAGTAGATTATGATGGAGAGAATTACAGTAGAATATCTTTAGATTACTTCACTCAAGTAGTTTATGATGGAGAGAATTACAGTAGAATATATTTAGATTACTTCATTCAAGTAGTTTATGATGGAGAGAATTACAGTAGAATATATTTAGATTACTTCACTCAAGTAGTTTATGATGGAGAGAATTACAGTAGAATATATTTAGATTACTTCACTCAAGTAGTTTATGATGGAGAGAATTACAGTATAATATCTTTACACATTTTCACTCAATTAGTTTATGATGGAGAGAATTACAGTATAATATCTTTACACATTTTCACTCAATTAGTTTATGATGGTTGAAATTACAGCTTTATAATAGAGTTCTTCACGTTAACCTTGAACGAACTCTTTATCACATCATGTGTGTTTCCTAACAAACCGTTCTTCTATTTATAAATCACCTTGTATTCTGCACAATCTCTATATTATCTTGGACTTTGTACGGTTAAGACTTAAAGCAGTAAAATTCTACGTGTGACCTTAATTAAAGTGTTACACAAACAAGCTTGGGAAATGTCATGTATTTTTTTCTATTGGTCAAATGTGAATTTAAGTCCTATTGCTTGCTTCCCCTAGTCGATATATCTCGCTCTCATCTTTAGGTCCGTCGGTGTGCTACGCGAGTAGCAGTAAAATACTCTTCATTTTCAATAGTTCAAGAATTGATGGTGGACGTTGTTGACTTCTCGTGTATTAGTTCAAAAGTAGAGGCAGCTAACGCAAACAGCCCCTGTATAACGGTGCGCAAATAATCAAATTTCATTAAAAGTATTTTACTTAAAGAAACATCATAGAAGTCAGGAACATTAAATCATAGGTTAATAAGTAATAAAATAAAGTTTGATGTAGAAGAAAATTTCGATTGGAAAAGCACTATAAGTTCATCTTTTAGATTTTTTATTAAAGTCAAATTTTAATAAATTAATACGTATTGTTTGTTGCTAAGCGCAAAGTTACACAATCTGTGCTGTTTTTGGCGTTATAAGTCTTCAGATTTACCGCTGAGCGATTGGAAGGGGGGGGGGGCTAAGGGACAACTCTTTCAGAAATTGATGAAGACAATTCTATAAAAGGACTTAAAACATTAATTTTCTAATAAAGGTAACATAAGTCAACGATTTTTCTTTCTTTTTTCCAAAATAAAAGCATTTATACGAAGAGAAAATAACAGCAAGTAACCGATTCCTTGAAGCAAAGATTTTGACATTAATTTTTTCACTTACATTAAGTTGTCCACAACAATATCATCTTATAAGTACAGTCACATGAAGTTCTGATAATGGTTATTTTTATAAAATATTTGAAAACAAAGAATAAAGATATATGCAGTTAAATTAAGTAAAGTCGAGGCAGTAAATGTCACACTACGTTACGTTTATAAAACTTAAAATTGGATTTTCCTTTTTCTTCTGACTGTTAAAAATTACACTTTAATTAAATGAAAGTTACCCCACTTTGTACGACTGAAACTTAAAGGTTACGTCATCTTGAACTTTCTACAATTAACATTTTGAAGTTAAGTCACCTCGAACTTTTTACGATTAACATTTAATGGTTAGGCTACCTTGAACTTTTTATGACTGACAATTAAATGTTAAGTCACTTTTAATTTTGCAACAATTTCAGTGAAGAAAATATTATAGAGGTCTAATCTGTTTTTGATTCGCTAATCTCATTACCACAGACCAGTTTCGCAATAGTGCAGAGGGGCAAATAAATAAAGTTAACTTTCTGTTACTGTGGCACAGGATCACTATATTTTATGTGAAAATAAAGCATTAACAGGTTTCCTTTATTTCACTATGAGGTAGGAGCACGAACAAGTTTGCTTTCTTTTACTTTGAGAAAGAGTACTAACAAGTTTACTTTACTTTGAGAAGTAGTACTAACAAGTTTACTTTACTTTAAGAAGTAGTACTAACAAGTTTACTTTACTTTAAGAAGTAGTACTAACAAGTTTACTTTACTTTAAGAAGTAGTACTAACAAGTTTACTTTACTTTGAGAAGAAATACTAACAAGTTTACTTTCTTTTACTTTGAGAAGGAGTACGAACAGTTTTACATTATTTTGCTGTGAGATAGGAGCAATTAGAAGTTTAATATATTTTACCGGGATAAGGAAAACTAACAAGTTTACTTTCTTTTACAATGAGAACGAGCACTAACATATTTTTTCAGCGAACTGATAAGCTTTACAGCAGTAGCCAAATCAATGCTCTTTTCTTGAAGTTTAGCACTTGTAGCATCACATCTTTGAATAATTCTATACCAAACACTGTCATAAAAGCAATATCTAACGTTCTCATTTTATTCATCAAAGCAGTAGTTCCATTTCTTGCTGTTTGCCTTGCATCAATATCCTTAGATAAATCTTCAAGGTTGGTATAAATTATGTCGTAGTTTTAATACATAATTTTTGTTGAAACTGGTCTGGCTGACCATCTTGTTCCACTGAGGTTCTTAAGAGTAACTGGCCTTCCATCATCGCTTCTTAAGCCATCACAAATGCTTTGCCAATGCTTGGTTGAAGAAGTACAAAAATTGTACAGAGTTTAAAGAAAATTATAAAATGTTGATGCACATTCGCAACTTTCCACTGCATTCACGTCTGTTGGATCTAAAGAATGTGCTGCACAAGGGATGTAATCAATATATTGTTTTATGTTCTTGAGATGCTCTTGTAGGCCATTGTATTTACTGGACACATTTGCTGCATTATCGTACGATTGTTCACGTGTATTTTGAATGTCTATTCCCATCTTATATAATTTTTCTAAGACAACTTCATTAATTTTCCTGTATGCCAACTTTAAGAATCATAACCGACAAGACGCTCCTGTGTATCACCTTCCTCGTCTACATATCACAATATTATAGCTAACTGATCTGAGTGTGAAACATCGGGTGAGGAACATACAATAATTGAAGTATTTAGCATCGCGAGCTTTATGTAACTTGGTTAGTGTAGCATTTGCTTAATGTTACCGTATATTTTGGGACTTCTTATGGCGGGAATTTTAAAAATTAAGGTCTAAAAGGCAATAAAATAATAAAGTTTAATTACGACCAGTTGTATAAGGTTAAGAAGTTTTTAACTATTTAGTGTAAAGAAATATTGTTTTCTGCTACAGTTTGAAGTAATTCTAGAAAGAAAATATGTTAATTTTGATTTATTATGTATTTTTTTATGGTGGTTATGAGGTCGGTCAAATTCATCTAGTCTGTATTGAGTAAGAATAGAATAAATAACAGATAAAATATTGTTACGACAGCGGAAGTCATGTGACCCTAGTAACACGTCATGAACTTCTAGAAAATTCATGTCCGTTCCTGAAGCCTCGAGTGTTTACTAGATGTGTGGTATTCTTGTATATAAGACCGCCAAGAAGTGACGGCAACAATGGAATTGAATTGCAGACAGAGATAGAGACGACAATTGAGTCAAGCGCGTAAATCGTTTGTTCATTGTGAATTATAGCATTTGTTTAAGTTATAGCGTGACTGTGGAAATTAAGTGTATTGCAAAGTTGTATTGAGAAAGAATAAACTAGTTTTATTTAAGAAAGGACTTGTATCGCTAAACTTTCTTTTGAAAGAATTTTTACGGCAAATTAACAAACGAACAGTGACGTAACAATATGAAGATTTATTAAAATAAAGAGAGAGAGAGTTAAACTGATGGTCCGGATCGTCAGTAGGAGTCCCTCACCGCTTGGGCTCCTGGCACAACTGCGCCAAGGTTAATGCAGCCCTGTACATTATAACTTATTTCGGTAATTGAAGTCCACAACTTGATCTTATGTAATCAGACGTTTTCCCTTGACAATTTGAAAATATTAATGCTGCTGCCTTGATCTTATTAAAAGAACACACATTTTTCCTATCAATTAAAATATGTATGCTGTTGTCTGACGTAGATTTTACCTTACACAGCCTTCTATTATGTGTACCATTATAAGATTTGCCCCTGCTCTTCAAAGCTTCCTTTCTCGTGTATCCAGTTGTCGCTACCTGAGTGTTTGTCCCCCTTCTTGGACGATAAGACAACACTAATGATTCCCATCTAAACAGTTAAAGATAATGTCGTGTTTGCAAAGAGTAAAAATTCAACTACATAAGTGAATACTTAAAATCCGTCTCCGTATAAATTGATACACTGTAAAATATTAACATTAAGACTATTGAATGAAGAGACAAATACAACTAGCTGGATATGTTGAAATATACGTATTTATAAAATATAACAAAAGGTTTTGACGAATGTTAAAAAAAAAACATCATAAGTAATTAGAATAATAAAGGGATAAAATATAACAAAGGAAAGTACTTACATATCATTAGTAAAAGGATAACTAAGAAAGGAAAGCAGCTATTTGTCACTCATAGTAATGTAAATACGTAAATAAGGTAATTCTCCAGGATCGATAAAAATTTAATTAAAAAAAGCTGTTTCTCAATTAAGTTACTGAGTGATTTTACCCGACGAATTTAAATTAGTATTGAAGAAAAGGTTAGCTCTCTTATTCGGAATTTTGATACGTTTTGTCCTGTGATTCTAGTTGCTTATTTTTTAATCTTTTTTTTCTTTTTTTTTCTAGAACATTGTGATAAATGGAAAAGCTAGAGTTGTTACCATTCAAATTAAAGAATCCACAAGGATGGCTGGGAAACTTACGTGTGGTAAAATGGGCAGTATTAGCGGTGAGAATCTATGTGTATGTTGTCCAAGTTGTAGCACTACAAGTGGTACTTTAGACAGTGTTAGTGGTGAGAATAAATGTGTATGTTGTTCAAGTTGTAGCACTACAAGTGGTACTTTTCCAATTACCTTAATCAGATTAAATAAATTTTTAAGGCTACTCTTGACATCGTTTTTCTTCCTTCAATATTTTCAAGCTTCTTGTCATCTTCCTCTTGCATAGTTCTCATTCTCCTAAAGCCTTTCAATCTCCTCTAACTCTTTTAAAGTTCACATTGTCTTCAATCTTTTCTACCTCCTCTTGCATAGTTCCTATACTAATCAGTTCTGTCAAGCTACTCTACTTCTTACATAGTTCTATTTATCGTCAGTGAATATGACAAGCTCCTTACAAACTTATAATCCTTCAAAATGTTCTGACTAATTTGAAGATGACAAGACAAAGCAGAACATGTTTGTTCTGACGCTTTGTTTCCATCCAATCCGATATCATATAACCCAAATTGTTAGACTGTGTTCTATATGCATGTCCGGTTTTAGAGTGTACATATCGTTTTGTACTGAAGAATCACCACAAAAGAAAAATGGAGGTTAAAAATAACAATATAATTGAAGACAACCCAGAATTTTTTTTCTCTTTTAGTTGTGTCTGTTGTAATGAAGTCAAATGATGGAAGAGTAGTTCTTTTTATGTATTGCCTGTTGTAATGAAGTCTGATTAAGATTTTCTCTTAATGTTGTGTCTGTTTTAATGAAGTCAGGTTAAGATTTTTTCTGCTTCACAGGTTCGTATGTTGCTCTTTCTGATCGCAGTGGGTGGGATGAAAGTGACGCTGTATATATTTCCTAATTCGAAACAGTCGTTTTTAAAAAGCATGTCTTCTCCTTACAAAAAGACTCGAGTAACAAAGGAAGAAATATTAAAGTTTACTACGTCAACAAATATATTGAAAAACGTTTTCCACATGTGAGTATGCCAGCTGTAAGTTTCTGGTTAATTTCTGGAACTTAAAACGTCTTATATATATGGAATATATTACCGTGTCTCTGTTTAAGAAAGGTTCCACAAAAACTTGAGAAATGTGTTTGTTTGTTTGTCTCTTTAGCATAAATATACCAAATCGATTATCTACGTTCTTTCTCCGGATTTTAGTTGCAAGTCCATAAACTTTCTGATGACCAACTGGGAACATCTAGAATGTGAACTGTATGTCTTAAAATGAAACTGTAGCATAAACCATGTTCACAATGCAACAATTTTTAAGATATAAGTTCATTTCAGATTATATTTTGAACCTTACTATAATATCTATCAGACTAAATACCTATCCCTCCGTTTATCTATGCATCCATTAGTACCTATCTATCTGTGTATCTATAGATACAGCAATACCTATCTAACTGTTTATCTCTAGATACACCAATACCTATCTAACTGTTTATCTCTAGATACACCAATACTTATTTTTCTGTGTATCTATACATCCACCAATACTATCTACCTATGTATCTATCTATACGTACGCCATCGCATTGATGTAACTACAGTAACTTAAGCACTGATTCAAATAACCTTAGAAAGATATTATCAATAATTTCAATTGGTTTTATGAATACCCTCTCTTTTAGTTGTCTGAAGGATTGAATAAATAACGTAGTGTTAAGATTATATAATAAGCCTAATACTTATGCCTTATGTCAAGTATAATTAAGTACAATCATGCCGAGCCAGCTTAGAAAAGACGTTCGCACCATACTTTTTGTTGTAATAACTGGCTTATATAAATAGTCTTCCAATAACTACTGTGTTGAGTCGTCCGCAATTTTTTTTTTATTATTATTTTTTAAGAATGTAATACTAAAATTAAAATAGGCCTAAGCCATTATGGGAAGTATAACTAATTGTTACGTATCTGCTTGTTTGTTAATTTCCCGTAGAAATTCTTCCCGAGGAACGCCAGCGATACAAGTCCTGTATTAAATAAAACGAGTTTATTCTTTCTCAGTACAACTTTGTAATACACAGAATTTCTACAGTCACTTTAAACTTAACTACTTTTATGAACACACGCTATAAATCACAGTGATTCACACACTTAAGTTATGACTTGACTCGATTATCTCTATCTTCAATCTCTCTATCTATCTGCAATTATATATCCGCTTTATTTGCCGGGCTTATATACTAAAATAGAGGGCGCTTAGAAAAGACTAGAGTTGCCAGGAAAAGTAGAGATCCTTCGAGAATCTCATAACGTGTTACCAGAGTCACGTGACTTCAGGTGTCATAACATAATTATATTAATGCCGATTTTAGTCCGTTGTAGTACAAGCCTTGCTGTTCTGACGGTATAGTTATTTGGTGCACATATCGTATTGTTGCGTCATCGAGATCATGTGATTCTCACGCTCTCTACTATCTAGAATTATCCT